GCAGACCTAATCGGTCATGTGGGCGAGAAAAGAAATGGTGCGGGAAAGTGTCAGGGGAACCACGAATACGGCACATGCAATGAAAAAGGCGAACACATATTCGCCACAGCGTACAACCTAGCATGAGTCAACACGTACTACATCAAAAAGCATGAACACCTGATTATGTATTAAAGTGGAGACCGTCTAACACAAATTGACTACTGCGCAGTGCGTTACAATAATTTAAAGAACATAAAGGGTTGCAAAGTTATCCCAGGTGGCTGCAAACCTCAGCAAAAGCCACTACTACCAGACCTAAAAATTCCGGTTGAACGACAAAGAAAACCAATGACTAACAACAAAGCACGAGGTGGTGGAAATTGAAAGGGAACTCTCTGGCCAAAGAAGCTCCGGTAAATGCTCCATCCTTATGTGAGAAACCAGATCAGTTATGGACAACAAGGTAACATGCGTTGGATAGCGAGGAGTTTACTGAGTCACACGAAGCCGGGAAGAAGAAGAATCGACAAAGAAATTGGTGGTGGACGCTGCAAAAACATGTGTCAAAAAAGCGAACAGTACCATTCATAACAGCAGAGGAAGTTTGCTTGCTTGCTATAGCAAGGAGAAAGAACGGCAAGGTTTTTGGTCGCGATGACATAGCAAGCGAATTCTGAAAAGAATGATGGCTCGTTGCCTCATGGCTTGCAGGTCTCTTCAAGCAGGTCATCGAAGCTGATAGCATGCCCCAAGATTGGTCAAAGAGTACAATGATTCCGATATGGAAAAATAAAGGCGATATCGCAGATTGTTCAACGTATCGACCAATCCGACTGATAAGCCACACTCTGAAGATTTTCGAAAGAGTATTTGAAACACGACTTCAAGCGACCATAGATTTACCATCCAATCGGTGCGGATTTATAAAGGGAGCCGGTACTGTTGACGCCTTCCATACTGTACGGATAGTGGTGGAGAAGTAGAGGGAAACACGAAGAGAGCTGCACGCGGCTTTCGTTGATATGGAGAAAGATTTCGACAAGGTACTCCATGATGTCATATGGTGAGCACTGCGAAAGCACATGGTGCCAGAAGTATACATCCAATGGATAAAAATGATCTATTACGGAGCCACGAGCCATGTGCAAACCGCGGCAGGACAGTCGAAACCATTCCGCATAAAGACCGGCGTGCATCAAGGATCGATGCTCTCTCCTCTACTCTTCATCACAATTATGGATGCAGTGACGGAAGATCTCAGCGACAGCCTCCATGGGCTCTCCTGTATGCAGGCGATGTGGGGTTGATGGCAGAAAATAGAAAAGAACTTGAAAAAGAAGCACAGAGATGGAGGCAATTAGTCGTACGCCTTAAAGCTCTACGCAAAGAAGACAGAATATATGGAATTGGGAGGTCAAACTTCAGAAACCATATACATCGATGAGAAGCCGATCAAGAAAGAGAGTACCTCAAGTACCTAGGAAGTTGCATCTCTGGCGAAGAAGGTCTTCAAGATGAAATATCTGCCAGGACAAACATCCTGGATAAAATGGAGGACCTTCACAGGAGTTCTATGCGATAAGCGAATGCCAGTGCAACTCAAACAGAGGTACCGTACTGTGATCCCCCTACAGCGCTGTATGGCAGCGAATGTTGCCCCGTACGCGAAATGAAGAACACAAGCTTAGTGTCATGGAGACAAGAATACTGCGGTGGACATTGGGTATCACCCTGCTAGATCATGTTTGTAATGACACAGTTCGTGCAAGGAAAAGTTGCTCTTATCATTAAGAAAATCAGGAAAAACGACTGCGATGATATAGGCATGTGAGTAGAAGAGATGAAAACCACATCATAAGAATGGTCATGTCTTCAGAGGTCGCTGGAAAAAGACCACAGGGAAGACCAAAGATGAATTGGATGGACATCAGAGCTGACCTGAAAGAGCTTAGGACAGACGAAAATAATGCCTTAAGTCGAGAATACTAGAGACAGTTGACTTGTACAGCAGACCCTACGTAAGCGGGAAATTGCGAAAATAAAAATGCGTTGCCAGTTATTTAAAAATTTTTTGGAATCTTTTATACCCTACTTCTCATCATTCTTATTCGTAAACTACTCAACCTCTTCTATACCATGCTTTGATCGTATGCTGTGATTTTTAGCTCTACACATTTGTTATTTAAAAAGAAAATCCATACCTTTCAATGGAGTTCGGTAGTTCTATAAAACCTTGAGATGTACTTCTCTCAGCAACTCATTTTCCTTAAAGTATTGCTATATCTCGGTGCAGCGTGTTTCCAACTGTTTTGACTGCAAACGAACCAAACCGTTGATTGCTCACTGTTGAAAGTATGGATGATCACTGAACTATCCTGGCTGCCTCTAGGGCCTTTAAGTTCATGTGCTTTTCTATCACCCCTATTCACTTCTAACAATACTTTCTAACCTTCTGAATTTAAGCGTTAGTTTCTTTTCTCGTCGAAAGATATTAAAGTGAAATGTGGAGTAACCAACTCAATGCTAACTGCTCATAAAAGTTTAATTTTGCTTGGCGTGCATTCTCTATCATTAAATTCATGTGATTTGTTTCCGAAGAATTCTAACTTTTGTTAATTTATTAGTTTCAGGCTTCTTATGAGTTATTTAGTAATAATTAGCGAAAAATGACTCAAAATTTGGTTCTTTGTAGGAAAGCTTGTAGCCCCAGCGTTGACCCATCATCAACAAATGCAATCGTTGATGTCGAAAATCCCCTTTGCTCATTCTGAATTCTCGCAGTTTTTTGCTATACATTCTATGTGTCATCAGATTGTGAGATTTGTTTGAAGGTACTACGACAAATTTGGTCAGATTGATGTACAGCGTCAGTGCTTTCCTAGTTAGCTTGTCTTTTTTTTTAAAAATGGAATTTTAAAATTACTCTAGAGTTCTGGCTAGTGCTCCAAATCTCTTTATATTATCTGAAATTCGTTTCCAAAGTCTCAGTTATACTCTCGCAATGATTAGATTCAATTACTGAGCTGGTAGAACTGTTAGCATTCGCATTCAAAATTGTCAAAATCAAGTTTGTAGAAACGCAAACTAATGGGAATCAAATTTGTATTTATATCAAGAAAGTTTATTGCGGTCTCATATAGATAGTATAATTTGCTTTTCTCTCTTTCAGTAGCTCTATTCTTATTTGATTTGCACACATAATTTGTTTCTTTTTTCACACAGCAGTCGTATCTAGTTCATTATATTTTTCCTAGACAAGTGCAACTTGGAGTTCACATTCATACAGCTTCCTTTCCTTACGTATTGCTTTATGCGTGATCCAAAAAATCTTCTTGCCATCCCCAACCTTGGAGATAATTCATTTTACTGGCGTCTCTAATCTGTAAGAAAGGACTAAAGGTTTTGAGTGTGTTTTCAATCACTTTTTGGAGACTGTACGCTTTTGTCATTCCCCAAGCTTCTTCACAGTAATTATTTTAATAGTCGTAAGCAATTTATTCTTCAAATATTCTACAAAACTCAAAGTGTACTGTAGCAAACCCGTACAGGCGGATAAAGGTATGAGGTTAGTAATTATGCGGGAAATGTAGCACAACAGTGAGCATAAGCTCTTTCAAATATCTATCAATCGACACAATACCTTCAACATCAAGTCGCTAGGTCTTGTTTCTTGATCAAATTATAGTATCGTCCTTTCTGATGCATCAACTGTGAATGTGTACCAGATTCTCGCACTTTACCATTTTCCACGTAAACAATCAAATCGGCATTTTGAATCGATGACAATCGGTGGGCTATGGTTATGCATGTTCGACCTTCTCTAGCCAAATCTAGAGCCTTTTGCACAGCCTGAAAAGGTTGAGCTTCAGTCAGGTAGTTTACTAGGTATTGAGTATTGATCAACTTACCCTTTCACTTTCGGAATCCAATGCGCTGGTGGCCTCATCAAGTAGCAGGATCTTCGGGTCTCGCACTAGTGCTCTGGCAATAGCAATACGTTGTTTCTGACCACCAGAGAGTTGAGTGCCCTTCTCGCCGACCTTGAAAATCAAAAAAATCAATAACTGTGGGATTCTATTTCTGTAGAAGTGTATGGGGAGAAGAGTTTGTAAAGTGCTTTTTGTCTGTTCATGTCCACTACTGTACCCTCAT